GTCTATAATCCTAGTTACTCAGTGAGCTGAGATGTGAGAATCGAGGATCAAAGCTAGCCCAGGCAGAAAAGTCCATGAGAATCCATCTCTACTTAACCAGCAAAAAGCTGGACTGGAGGTGGAAAAAAAAGTTGTAAACATACAGAAAAATGGAAAATTGACCCATTCATATATCTTTTACATATATTCACCAGCCATTCACATTTTTGCACATTTTCATTTTCTTTTTCATAGTGATTCACTTCCATTTGTTTTTTTATTTTTGTTATTTTCAATTTTTTGAATCATTTGAGAGTTACAGATATCGTACTTCTAAATATTTCATCGCTTATCTCCTAAGAATAAAGACATTGTTCTATATAAACACAACAACATAGTCACTTGAGAAATTAATTTTATATATTATGTATTGACTTGTTTAATGTATTTTCCCTCAATTATCCCAATAACATTATTTATACTTGAGGCATTTTTGTGTGTGTGCATAGTCTGGTGTTGGGGCTTGAACCCAGGGCCTTGAATTACACTTTTTTTGTTTGTTTGTTTCTAAAGTCTGGAGCTGGAGGAGTAGGAGCTGGTTAACTGGAAGTAAAACTCTTCCTGACTTTCATCCTGTTTGGGCTGGCTCAATCCTCAAACCTCAGCCCCCTGAGTATCTTGGATTGTAGGTTTGAGCCACACGTGCCCTGCTTAAAGCTTCTTTTTTGGGGGGGTCGGTCATGGGGGTTGAACTCTGGGCTTGGTCGCTGTCCTTGCACTCTTCAGCTCAAGGTGAGCGCTCTACTGCTTGAGCCACAGCGCCACTTCTACTTTTCTAGTGGTTTATTGGAGATAAGAGTCTCAGGACTGGGCTGGGAAGGTGGCTCAGTGGTAGAGCGCTTGCCTTGCATGCCTGAGGCCCTGGGTTCGATTCCTCAGCACCACGTAAGCAAAAAGAAAAAAGCCGGAAGTGGCGCTGTGGCTCAAGTGGTAGAGCGCTAGCCTTGAGCTGAAGAGTTGAGGGACAGCGCCCAGGCCCAGAGTTCAGGCCCCACTACCGGACCAAAAAAAAAAAAAAAAGAGTCTCAGGACTTTCCTGTCCGGGCTGGCTTTGAACCATGATCCTCAGATCTCAGCCTCCTGAGTAGCTAGGATTACAGGCGTGAGCCACTGGCACCCGGCTGAAGGTTCTATTTTTAAAGTCTGGAATCCAACCAAGGATCATGAATTGTATTTAGTTTTAATGCCATTTTATTTACTTAAATTGGTTTTGCCTATATTTAGTTCTGCATGACACTTATAATTTGAAGAGCCCAGTTAAGTTGTTTATATAGGATATTCTTTGAGTTGGATTTGCCGGTTCATTATGGTTAGCATCTCCAAGAATACCATATAGGAAATTCCAACTCCTTCAAGAGACAGCACTTGGAGGCATTTTTGTACTATGCTGTCCCATATTGGTTAAGATGTGCTCACTAGACGTCTCTATTACAGAGGTATATTTTTCCTAGTGTCATTAATTAGTAACCTAATATTGTATATATCAGCTATCTGTTTAGTAGTCCTTGAAACATACGCCTTTGGTCATGGCAGAAATTGGATGAAGCCATTATGGGCATGTTAATTACTAAATAGCTTTTGCCACGATGGGAAGATAATTCTTCACCATTTGTTTTTCCCAAAAGGAGTAGAGGGGAGATAGCAAGGTTAAGAAATGAATCTCCACTTGAACTTGTACAACTTGAGAGAAATTTACAAACCTCTCATTCTCGGTTTCTTTTCTAAATTGGGGAAAACACATACTTGGCAAAACATTACACTGATTCCTTGGGATAGTAGGAGAGGGCTTCTAGCCTCATAGCTGCCTGAGGATTACTGAGTGTGAGTGACAGAGATCTGCTTCCAGAGCAGAGCCTGCTCATGACTATCTTCAGACCTGTCTGTAATTATTGTACTTGGAATTAGTTAAAAATCATCAGACATGTTGATGAGAAAATATGATCAACTGGTCAGGTGCCTTTGTAAGACTTAAGAATTTGGGGACTCAGGGTTCTATTTTCAAATCTCAATTATCACTTGTCTACAGTAGATTTGTATGGAATCAAATTGCCATTTACTCAGACTTCTTTCTGAATGCAATCCATTATGCTTTTATTACAAGGGATTATTTTTTGAAAGAACAGTTTATATGTAGTCTGATTGAGAGTAGTGAATCATAATAATTCTGTGACCCATTTACATGCATTACTGTAAAAGTTTCATTTCATACAAGTGACAATTTTTTAAAGTTAATTAGACTCAGCTACACTGAGGTTAGCAAAAAGTGCTTTGAATTATCAATAATTCAGCAGGGCAGACAGTTCTGTATAATGCAGTGGTTTTATAGAGTATTGTGAGATAGTTATCCTTTAAATAAATGGCTGTGAGCATACATCAGCATGGTGGGGTTCACTTGGACATAGTGTGGAAGTGATAGCATCTTGGCTTTCTATTATTGGGCAGAGTGTGGGACATCAGTCTTTCTGGCCATGAACTACTAGCAACCTTTGTCCTTTGTGTTACCTTTAGTTAAAAACGAAAATTGAGCATGGATGCTGGCTGATGGCCACATCTCTCTTTCAGCTAAAAATTCATCTGGGAAAGAAAAATGGGACTGGAGATTTGGGTTTGTTTCATTGCATGAATGATATGTGACATTTTGTAAATTATTTATCACCACAAGGATGACGGCAATGGCTTGAACATTGTTCTATCAAATGAAAGCAGGAATCCCATTAGTACAAGGGCTGTGTTTCAGCTACAATCTATCAGGGGAATGTTGTCACTTTAAAACCAGATTGTTCTTTTAATTGCTATTTAAAGGAACAAAAGTGTTCCCAAGGTACTGCAGTCGAGCAGTTGCAAGTAATAACTACGGATCCATAATTATGCAGTGCTGATTATGTGGCATTTATAAAAACAGTGGCTGGAGTCAGTGACCAATTTGTTGTAGCTTGTCTTTTTTTGGTGTTTCTAGTACAGAATGTTTTACACTGTGCTTTTTAACAGTGACTAAAAAAATGTATTTGCATTTCTACCCCAGAAAGTAAAGCCTGTGCATATTAATAGAACAAATTAACCTAAAAATAAGGGCAAGATAATGAGACTCATTGTAAGATATAATTAACAATCACATTAAATAATTTTGTGAATGCTTGGTCATAGACAGATTCTTGATTTTGATGACATGTTGTCACAGAGAACCAAGGCATTTATTGGAGTCAGGATAACCATTTGAAATATTTTAAAGATGAGTTTGATTTAAAAACAAACTAGCATATGCTTCTCATTTAGTTAGCAAAAATATTTGGAGTGCCTGCTTACTATGAACCAGTAATGTACGAGGCATTTGGAATTGGACAGTTGGATAAGTGAGGTTTATTCTGTGTTGATGTATACTTAGAGAATTAGACATAGCAAAATCTTGTTTTTTATTTACACTTAAAGATATTTTCTTAGGGGTTAGAGACGTGGTTCAAGTGTAAAAGTGCCTGCCAAACAAGCACAAGTGCTAGAGTTCCAAGTCCAGTACAAGAAACGGGCTGGGAAGGTGGCTCAGTGGTAGAGCGCTTGCCTTGCATGCCTGAGGCCCTGGGTTCAATTCCTCAGCACCACATAAGAAAAAAGCCGGAAGTGGTGCTGTGGCTCAAGTGGTAGAGCGCTATCCTTGAGCTGAAGAGCTGAGGGACAGCGCCCAGGCCCAGAATTCAGGCCCCACAACTGGACCCCCCCCCTAAAAAAAAGAATACAAATGAACAAAGAAAAACAAAACAAGAAACCTTTTTTGTTGTTATTGGTCGTGGGGCTTGAACTATGGGCCTGGCGCTGTCCCTCAGCTCTTCAGCTCAAAGCTAGCTCTCTAATACTTGAGCTACAGTGCCAACTTTCTTTTTTTCTGAGTGGCTTATTGGAGATAAGACTCTCATGGACTTTTCCCACCTGGGCTGGCTTTGACCTGGGCTGGCTTTGAACGGTGATCCTCAGATCTCAGCCTCCTGAGTAGCTAGGATTATACGCATGAGCCCAGCAGAAACCATTTCTTATGTTGAGCTTTCTTGGCCTGAATATTTTAAGTCATCAGATTCAAATATGAGAACAACTTAGTAACATCAGTTGGGTAACAGATGTTTATGAAGATGTGACATATTCAGTAAAATTTTAGTTTATGTACAGTCTTGACTCTTGAAAATAATGTGGCCAGATCTATAGGCACAGTTCAACTGTGGATGGGAATGATAACATTGCTTGGCAAAGGAGACACTAAAATGTATGTAAATCTATACATTGTTAAAAGCAATTTCCATAGTGAGAGTTCAAAGGTGCAAAGGGGCCAGACAAATGTTTTGTTGTTTGTTTGAAAACTTGGGGATGTCAGAGATGGAAGGTTTGCTTCTTTGTAGGCTATGGTTTTCTTTGAAGAACTGGTGCTGGAAAGCCTTGGTAATGATCTCTTGATCTTTTTAAGTAATCCTACAGAATTTTTGTTGTTGCTTATTTTTTTGTTTAATGTGTCATCTAAAATCATGGTTTATTTTATTTTATTTTTTCGTCAGTTGTGAGGCTTGAACTCTGGGCTTGGGCACTGCGTCCCAAGTCCCTTGGGCTTGTGTCCCTGTGCTCTTTGCAAGGCAAGCGCTCTACCGTTTGAGCCATAGTGCCACTTTTAGTTTTCTGGTGGTTTATTAAAGATAAGAGTCTCATGGACTTTCCTGCCCAGGCTGGCTTTGAACAGCGATCCTCAGATCTCAGCCTCCTCAGTAGCTAGGATTACAGGCGTGAGCCACCAGCACCCGGCCTGAATGTTTATTCTTTAGCTAATACTTCACTAGCAAATACCTTGACGATATTTATGATAAAATGAGTACCTGATTTAGCAGTTTTTCTTTGCTCAAGAAGTAGGTACAAAGCCTTTGATTTTAACATTTTATTTTAAATCTTGACATGGAAGCTAATGATATTTTAAATTTTTAATTTTGTCATAGCCCCGTGCAGATCCCATTCCAATATGTAGCTTCTGTTTGGGGACTAAAGAATCAAATCGTGAAAAGAAACCAGAAGAACTCCTGTCTTGTGCAGATTGTGGCAGTAGTGGTAAGTTACTTTGTTTTGTTTTGTTTTGTTTTGTACAGTGACTTCCCACTATTATAGGTTTTGTATAGTGACTTCCCACTATAATAACTTCCTGCTGTTTATCTCAAAACTACAAGGTATTTTTTATTGAAGCAGTTATTTGGCAATACAGTAGAGTTTTAATGTAAAAAAAATAAATGCAGGTAGACAATGTAACAGCAGTGGTAGATATTTTATGTTCATAAAATACTAAATATGAGTAGAATTAACCGTCAGTTTCATAATACATTGATAACTCAGTATAGGCACTCCTGTTCTGTAGGTAAATTCAGGGTAGAAATTTTTGTTGTTGTTTTAAGAAATGGCCTTGCTATATAGCACAGACTGGCCTTGAGCTCTCATCCTTTTACTGGGATTATAGGTAGGTACCAACATGCTTAATTGTCTGTCTGTCTGTCCATCTGTTATGGGGTCTTTCTGTGTTACAAAGGCTGAACTCAAATATTTGAATACTTGTATACTTAGAATCATTTTTGTTTTTTATACCGTAAAGGCTCAATATAAGAAACACTCTATGTGGAGTTCAATATAAGAAATACTCTATGTAGAGTCTTATGTTTTAGATCATGATGCCTACTGACTGGCTAAGTGTAGTATTACTGTCCCGCTCTGAGAATCCCCATGGAATCAAAGGTAGGAACCCTGGGCCTTTTGCAAATTTATGGAATCCCAGATGTTCAGCTCAGGGAAGAAAAATACTCCATCTCAATGAAACATGCTGGTTTTATGGAGGCAGGACAGGAAATCTAAAAATAAGTAGTAACCCACAATAAATCGAGGTCCAGGCATGTGCCTAGATAGGAAGCAAGAACTTATCTCAATTAAAAAAAAAATTCTATATAATAGAGATCCAACCCAGGGCTTCACAAATATTAAGATTACACTATCTTGAGCTGCAAGTTAAAAAAAATTAATCCTTTCTTGCATTTGTCTTTAAGCTGTTTTTTATGAATGTTATTTTAAAATTAATAACCAAGGTGTAGGAGCACAACTCACAGGTAAAACGCTTGCCTAGCATGTATAAAGCCCTGGGTTCAATTTTCAATATACAAAATAAAGAAAAAATGGAAGGCTAGGAGGAGAGGAAGAAAGAAAAGAAAAACCGTTTTAAACATTGCATACTCTCAGGTAGCCAATCATGAAGTATGGTGGTTAAAAGGAAACTTATGAGTCATCACAGCCATTTCCTCCATCTTGAGTTAGATATTTAACCATTCCAACCCTCAGTTTCCTCATTAGGGAATAGTGACAGCACCTACCTCTTGGGTTTTATGGGGAATGAGTGAGAGAACATGGGTAAATAGCCTAGCACAGAGTCAACAAGAACTACAGTAAGTATACCATAAATGTCAGCCATTGTTGTGATTTGGCATGTTTGGCCTTGATTGCTGCAAATAAGTTAAGATTTTTTTTATCACCATTTATGACAATGGCCTGATAGTTAGATAGTGGAAATTTTCCATACTTTGGATTGACAGTATAGTACAATGATTCTTATTTCTGATGTGAAGGCTTAACTTGATAGGCCTTTTGCGGTTCAGTAACTTCTAAGACTTGAGTAAGAGGGGAGAACCTTTGAAATAAGACATTTAAATCCCTGCTTGGAAAAAATACTTCCTGACGGTCTGTTTGATGGCTTTCCAGATTCATTAAAATTCTTTTACCTGGCCATGGTATCATGGATAGTGACAAAGGGCATGGAAACATTATCTGTGTATTCAGTTTAGTATATTGCAACCCTACAATCTCCCCATGCTTTGTTAATGAGGTAGTGCTTCACTCATCAGTTCTGACTCTAGTTATCTTTTGGGTTTCTCATGAGGCTCATTCAGAATGAATGAATCTTTTTTTTTTTTTTTTGTAACTGCCTGATCAATCTAGTCGTTTTTACTTATCTAAGGTTGTGATTTTTAAGGTTGTACTTTCTAAAACACCTTCCACTGTTTCATTTCTTCAGTATCTACTTATCTGGGCACCTAGGCAGATTTACAGGCATACTTAAATGTAGAAAGAAAAGTTCCCTTTATATATTTCCTTACCTCTGGTGATACACTTACTTGAGTGGGTAAGGAATCTGAGATCATTATCTTGTGGATCATAACTTCAAGGCCTCATTCACAGGGTATCAAGGTAATTCTAAACAGGTAGATCTTAGGCTTTCTGATGTAATCAATCTCCCTTCATCTTTTCCAGATTGAAAACCTGCCAAGGGGAGGTCTGATCTCATTTACACTTTGAGGTCGCTGACATTTTGTTCCTCTAAAATTCATGCTTTATAAGGGCTAGACCAAGGATATATAAATGCAGTGTTTTCTTTCATCAAAAATAACCCTCTTGTTTTCTCTTCTAACAAATGGAGAAGACTGACTTGAGGATACTATCTAGAGGGTTTCTGTAGTAGAGTCATATGTGAGCCAGTTTCTTCTTCTATTTTCATGTGAAAAGCCAGAAGCTGTGGAGTCAAGGTAGGGGTCATGGCAGAAATTTAAGCCCTGGGGTCATCCTGTCTCCCTTGATCAACATAGAGAATGTCTAAGAGTGCCTCCCTGGCCTGTACAATGGGATCCTTCTCACATGTCAAAGTTCATGTGATCTTCCTTCAGTTCCCTGTGCCAGCCTGAGTTTGGCTAGTTTAGTAAAGGTGTGGGGGGGAAACCTGTTGTTCTTACTCAATAAAATGCTTTCTAGACATTTATTTTATCTGGTAGATCAGACAAAGTAGACTTTGTTCTTTATTTCTCTTTAATGGAAGAGTCCAGATAAAATAACAGATCATTTTAGAAAATGAACTTGGGGGGAATCCTAGTTTAATGTTCTGCAGTGACACCTTGGTAATTATTAGGAAAAAAGAAAAGGTCCATATTCTTCAACAGAGCTCTCCACTCATGATATTGTCACAGTCTAGTCTGTTACTTCTAGTGGACCATACGGATTTTTGGTACTTTGTTTAGCCCTATGGAAATGGCTGTTTACTCAGAAGGATCCATTGGTTCTAGGAGTGAATGAAGACTATAATGATCAAAGGGATCACTAACACAAGATGTTGATGTGAAAAAATACCCAAAGCAATATAAAATGGGGGAAAAAAGGAAATATAGATGCAACCCATAAGGAAGATCATTCTTAAATGTGTTTCCCATATGTTTGCAACTCTTTTTAGTCATCTCTATCTGAAGTACCATTTGTATGATGTCACATTTAAACTGTGCTTAGATTTCATAGACATGAGCAATAAATGTTTCCTTCTGATTGCATCATAAAACCAACATTTCTCTATTTTCAAGATGGTTCAATGCTACAGTTGCTCATAATTTTAACTTTTTTTTCTTGTTAGAAGTTCTTTTTAAAAACAAGTCATCCATCCCCCTTTTCTCTTTTTCTCTTCTTCCTTCCCCTTATGCCTCCATCTCTTGCAAGCCCACAGTTTGCTCTCCCCATAATAAACTCTAAGAAAAAAAAGTCATCCAAGTTTATATACATTAAAAGTACGAAATGAGATGAATGGTTTAAAGAGCCCTAAATGTGGTGTTTCCAGTCCTGTGTTCCGTTTCACTTCCTGTGCTTGCTGGCTGTGTAACCTGAAGGGTAATGTCTGTGCCCTGCATCCACAGAGCTGGTATGGGCACCCAGTGAAGTAGTCGTATGCAGATGACAGGTAACTATAAAACATTAGACAACCACGAGGGATGATTGTAGTCACTGATAGGAATGTGGGAACTATCAGATAGTCTTCAGGTCTGTGGAAATGTTGGGGCTGGGAAGTGATTTTACTTGACTTTCATGGATCAGCCTACTTTGAAATTAACACTGTTATATTCTCTTTGCCTCATTAAGACCAAATTATCTTTAATTAGCTTCACATAAGTATTAGATATTATACCAAATGAAATTTTGTGTCTGCTCAGATTGCTGGGTGGTTAAATCTTACTTACAGATGAGTTATGTGCATGTGTGTTTTCAAATTAGCAAATCTAAGATAAGTGTACAGTTCAAAATTACAGCATCATACTAAGTGGAAGCTCATTGAAACAGGAGGCAGTAAAGGGGCTGGCTGCCGTGATGCAGCTGGGAGAGGGAGGGAAAAAAAAAACGCTTGATACACAAAGGAGATAGAGCTTAGAAAGAGTATCAGCTCATCCTTGGGAGTCTTGGAGTCAGTCCTAAGTTCATCTGTATGTTAACCCTGAAAGGCGGGGGGCGGGGCATTCCCAGCGGGAACTGGTAAGGTAAAGAATGGATATAATAAAAGAACACTAGTGTTTTAAGGTCATTGTACAGGAATGCCCCAGGGAGTGATTGGTTAGTCATCCAGTTCCACATTGACTAAACATATTAAATCTAAAATTGAGAAGGAGGCCCTTGACCAGAAAGAACCCAGAGAGTAATAAATATGGATGGGAGGAAAAAGCCCCATCCTCCAGTAGCCCAAAGCAGGATTGACCATTCAAATGATGACAGGAAGCAGAATTCTTGCCTGTCATTTCACTAAAATTGCCCTATGTTAGATTTTTTTCATGTTGTAACTAAATACCCAAATAAACAATTGAGGAAAGATTTCAGTGTGTGGCCTCTGGCACCATTAGCTTGGGGTTTTGAGAGTGTGTGGAAAGGAGGTTCTTCACTTCACAGCAAGTGGAAAGCAGAACTGGATGAAGTAATGAGAGACCAAGAGTAACCTTCAATGGCATGGTCCCAGTGCCTGCTTCCTCCTCCCAGGCCCCTACAAAACCACCTCCTGAAATAACGCTACCAGCTGGGCACTCAGCATTCAACATAATAACCTGTGGGGGACACTTACTGTTCAAACTATAACATGTGCTTTTCAGGCTTAACAGTGTGACCTCCAAGTAGAAAATTTAAATGGTCTCTATTAAAATTTAATGAGCACCTGTCTGTCCTCTTTGTCACATACAACCTTGTTGAGAAATAGTCTCTTCAGCTTCTTTGATGCCATATTCTGTTTTCTTTCTGACACTTTCCTCTATATCTTTTAACTTCATGTTTTCTCTCTAATATTTTCTCTCAAAATATTTTTTAAAGACTTCTGTCTTTGGCCCTGTGTTTCTTACTTTGCCTTATATGCAAATATCTACAGATTCACTTGTCCACTTCATAGACACCTCAAAATTATTATCCAAAAGAGATCAGCAGACTTGATTCCCATCCTCCATAAAACAAAACAAAATAAACCAACCACAAAAAAATGCTACAGTAGTTAACAACAAATTGAATTTCCTATTGGCCACTCATTCCTCTCTCCTGTTCTCTCATACGAAGGAATTCCCTAGCACACTTTGATTATATATACACACACATGTGCATGTCTCTTAAATTTACCCACACTTTCCAGTAGCCTGACTCAGCTCTGTTATTATAATCTAAATCTAATCCTTACCCCCCCCCTATTTTTTCATCCTATAGACCAAGTTACCCTTTGAAATTTTAAATCTGATCACAGAATTTTTCTTGGCTACCAATCACTCTTGGGGAGGAGAAGGGGGAGGGAATCCAAATTATTTAATATAACCCTGAAAATCATTCTGCAATAGATCCTTAAGTCTCACATCCTTCATAGTCTACACATTAATTAAATAGATCAGTTTTTTCTCCCTGAATGTACTGTATTCTCTCCACGTGTCACCTTTGCTCAGCTTTTCTGGTCCCATCTCTCCCCATTCATGCTTTGGTCAAGGAGGCATTCTTTTACCCTACTGCTAAGTTCTTTCTCCCCCACTCTGTCATCAGGTATTGTGCTTATTTAAGTTTAAATTTTAGGGGGAGTTGAACACAGGGCCTTGTGTATGTTATGTAGATACCATACCCCTGAGCAGAATCCCTAGTCATTGGTTGGGACAGGTCTCAAATTTATGACCCTCTTGGCTCTGCCTCCTGAGTACTAATAGTGTATGTGTATGTCATTGTACCTGGTGTGAATGCTAATTCTGGTTAATGCCCATCTTTCCTGCTACACCACATGATCTCATAGGATGGGAACTATGTTTATTTTCTTCTTTTCTGCTTTCCAGTACTTATTAAATAATGGATGGTCAAATAGGGTATCTGAGACACCCCATGTTCAGATCCTTATTAGTTTTCTGTTGTTGAAGTAACAAATTGCTACACATTTAGTGATTTAAGACAAGTATACACACATGTATTATCTTAACAGCTAGCTCTAGGATAAAACCCAATATGGGCCTAACCAGATGACAATCATGATGTCTGCAAGTTCCTTTCTGGAGCCTCTAGGAGAGGATCCATGTCCTTGCACATTAGAATTGTTGATAAGATTCAGTTTCTTTGTTTTTAGGATTGAGATCCCCCTTTTCCATTCCCTACTTTCAAAGGCCACTCCCAAGGCCATGGTTTGTGGCTTCTTCTTCCATCTGTAAAGCCTGCAATGGCAAGTAGATACCTTTGCATGCTTCCTCTTTTTTGTTTTTTCCAGTTGGCCCTGGGGCTTGAACTCTGGGCTTGGATGCTATCCCTCAGCTCTTCAGCTCAAGGCGAGCGCTCTACCACTGGAGCCACAGCACTACTTCCGGTTTTTTAGTGGTTTATTGGAGATAGGAGTCTCATGGTCTTTTCTGCCCAGGCTGGCTTTGAACCATGATCCTCAGATCTCAGCCTCCTGAGTAGCTAGGATTAAAGGCGTGAGTCACCGGCTCCTGGCTTTCATGCTTCCTCTTATATTCTCTCCCCATTTCTCAACTAACCTGGCCAAAAGAAAGATTCTCTCAGATAACTTAGGATAAATTCTCCACCTCCAGATCTGTGCCCTTTAGTCATCTTTACATTTGTAATGCTCCTTTTGTCACAAAAGCAATATGTACATGCCATGGGAATTAGGATGTAGACATCTTTGTGTACACAGAACCCTTGTTTTCTCTCACATACTTCATCCAAAAATCATTTCTACTGGTTTTTTTTTGATCTGTTGGTACTTAAACAGTATTGTTTTATTTTACTATATAAAACCATTCTAAGGGAGATATTCTTTTGTGTTTGTATAAGGATGAAAAATGTGTGAATGCATTATATGGTTCTTAGATAGACAAATTGCAAACTGCAACGGTAAAACTAAGTCCAGAAAGACAAAACCCACCATAAATTGTGTCAGCAGAGAACAAGAATTTTTAAAATTGTTAAATTTATGGAATGGCTAAACAGGAAGTGAAAAGTTACAATATCAATACTGTTCCTTTTCATTATTCCATTACTATCCTGTTACTTTCCATCTTCCTCTTGTGTAGTAATAGAGCAAGAATCAGTTACAGTCTTTAGTGTTACTTTAAAAGTTAGCTGTGAGAAAATAAAATGGAAATGTTTCTTCATCCCTCAGTGTCCTAGAAATTAGAGCTGGAAGGGATCTATGACCAATTCTCTTGAGCTAAATCAAGGTAAGATTTCTGCCTAAAGGAAATTTAGGCTGAAGATTTTGGAATTTGATAGGGTAATTTAAAAAGTAGTAGTTTGAGATAATATTACTTAAAAAGAGAGGAAAGGCATAAAGAGGAAGAATATTTGCTCTTGATTGAAAATGGCTGAAAATCCATTAACTTTCAAAATGTATAATTATTTGAAAAAAAAGTCTTCCATAGGATATCTGTGGAAATAAGTAGTAAGTTGTAATATGATGTGAATTACCTTAGTTACTGAATATTAAGCTACAAAGTACAAAGCAGATTTTAATGTAGAGAAAAATGTAGTGTGTGAAATTGAGGTCATATGTGCCAGTGATGTATGGCTTACAGGAAGTAATAAAAAAGGAGAGAGTAAATGGTATATTTTTGAGCTGATGGGATCCATTTTAGGGTGGAATTTAAATTGCCTTCTTTAAAAGTTAAGTTCTTAGCTCCCTCACTATTTAAGCCCTCTTTATCCCCTCCCCTTTCAAAGTATGCAATGCAAGGCAACATGTAGGCTATCTTTGCCAATCCTGAGCATGGAGAAGTGATTGATACCATTTTTGTGTCTTGATGGGTAAACCTTTTTCTGTTGTTTATTTGAATTAGAGAAGTCCTTGTCTAAGAATAGTGTGAGAGGTTAAATGCACAGGCCTGGGTGTTTCTCCTGCTTGAGATCATAATCCTCTGACAGCATTTTATTTTCTCAACATCTTAAATACAGATGTTTGGAGCAAAAAAAAAAAAAAAAAACCTTCAAACTGCATGCCTTTTTTTTAAGTGGTAGTATCGATGATTGATTTTGAATGTTTTTACTTCAAAAAGCCCAATCTCCTGGTGGGTGGAATTTTATGAAGCACCTGTTAAGCTTTAGGGAGGAGGACCTTTTGGCAGCAACCCAAAGTACATATTAAACAATAAGGCTGCCAAAGTCAGGAAATTATAAAACAGTTTTGAAATTGCAGAATCTGCTTTTTTTTTATTATTATTATTACCCCTCAGGTTTCCTTTGCAGCTTGGTTATAAGTTCTTTCACATGGGATTTACTAATGTTCTTACTATTTAAAGACCAGATTAAAAAAAAAAAAAAAAAGACCAACCTAAAATAAAGTTTGGAGATTTCTTCAGAGTTGTGGGACCAAAAAATAAACAAACTACCCAAAACACTAGATTTGAAATTCAGCTGCCTTGTAGAGCCTGGGCTTGTGCTCTCCATACTTGGGGGAAGGAAGAGCCAGCCTCCAGGAATTGCCTGTCAGGGTCTCTGGTTGACACCAGAAGTAGGCAAAAAGGCTAGGTGTATGGAGAAGCTCATTGCTCAGGACAGTGGAGGAAATTTGCTAAGAATGTGCTTCCTGGCTTGTTCCATTTAGTCTGAATCTTATCATCCTGTTAACACGGTCAGATTCACTGCTTCTTCTACTTTAAGAACTTAAAAAATCAGTAAACAAAAGGCAAGATGGTAATGGAATATTCTTCATCTGTCCCGACAAGGGAGCATTCTTTGTGTTCTATTGAGTTTATTTATGCATTTATTTGCTTGTTTTTGGCAAATGTAATTATGCTATGGTGAGTAACCTAAGTTTTGGGTTATTTTGTTTGTTTTTGTTTTTATTTTGAGACATAGACTTGATAGGAAGTCAGGTTGGCCTTGAGTTCACCATCTTCCAATCTTGGTCCCCTGGGTGCTGGGATTGCAGGTATGTGCCAACCATGTCCACCCATCCCCAGTGTTGAGTTGTATGATTACATCACACACAGAGAGCAGGAGTTGTTTGAATTTTGCACCTCATCCTAGTTTAGTGTTACAAACCAAGAGCTGAGGGTAGATAGTGCCGATTAAGGTGGCAAGTACAGGAGATTTTCCAGAAGGTGGAGCAATGAGGACACCAACTGGAGCACATGATGTTCTCGGTTAAGAATTTGAGAATGACTTGGTCGGAATTGCTATATATTTCCCAATTTTTTAAGGGAAAGAACTTTTTTACTATCATTCTGTTAACTACAGTAAGAGAAGGCAAAGGGAAAGAAAGGCAGAAAGGAAAATCTGTAATTTTAGATTCTTTTATCTTTGTATTGTTTTTATGCCTCCTTGATTGGCATTAGTGACTATTAAATTTAGATTCTAAGAGGCTTTTTTTGTTTTTGTTTTTTAATGAAGGCAACATTCCCATAAAGCAATTTGTTCTTTTTTTCTTGTAGGACATCCATCCTGTTTGAAGTTTTGTCCTGAGCTAACAACAAACGTGAAAGCCTTAAGGTGGCAGTGCATTGAATGCAAGACATGCAGTGCGTGTAGAATCCAGGGCAAAAATGCGGTAGGTATGGCTCTTCTTAGCCCAGTGCCAGGTAAACTAAGCAGCAGTGTTAAGGTTTTCTTTTTGTAGAATGTTACCATTTGCCTTTAAAAAGCCTAAGTATTTGTCACATCAAACCACAGCTGTGAAGTTGATACTTCTATTTTATTATTGTTAATCTGGAAACTTAGGGGATGTTTTACAGTTGGTCTCAGTCTGTATTGTTCTCTACTGTATTACAGGATAATATGCTTTTTTGTGACTCTTGTGATAGAGGATTCCATATGGAGTGCTGTGACCCACCACTTTCCAGAATGCCAAAAGGTGAACCTTTAACCCATATTTAAAATGTATCTAATTACTGTCTTATTACATAATAGCCTTGTCTTGATAGCTGACAGTTCAGAAACATACAGGTTCCTTAATCCTGTTTTCATCCCTCCCACCTTCCATGTCCTTGCAGTTTCTAGATAGAGGAGTAGCAAAGCATTTATTTGGGGGGGGGGTAATTTATGTATAAGATTGACTCACATGTAGAGATGAAAAAGTCTGTCCTTGTCCCATACCACTCCACTATTAGCATAAATTTGGATTATGTGGGTCAAAAGTTTTGAATACACTCCATATTTTTTAGTGTAGGATTTTAAAGGTAATGAATTTTTTTCAAAAGTTGGCTAATAATGAATTCAGAGTCCCATGGTAGGAAAGCATTACCATTTTCTAGCAATTAATTGCTATTTTGAATATGGGTGTCTGAACCATCTTGCATTTAGTGAAATAGGTATTTTCTTCTGTTTATTGTGTAAATCAGCCTAATTCAGTCTTGTCTTCCCTCGGTTTTGTAATATTGTAAACATTTAAAACTAACTTTTCCCTTTTTTCTAAACTATATAGACTTACCATGTGGTAGGTATGGAAAATACAGAAAGAAAATAAATAGAAAAATCATTTGAAATTCCTTCCTTGCCTCCACACACCCTTTAAAAAGGAATGGAACATTCCATGAATGTTTTTGTAACCTTATTTCCCCTCTCAATAATAGACTGCAAGCATTGCCACATCATTAAATGTTCTCTTGCATGCAGTTTTTAATGAGTTCTATAGACCCTGTAGTATAAAGCAGGGGTTACAAACTTGGTAACGGTGGGCCACAGGTGTGCTTTGTTGGTACAGTATTTTAAAAATTTTTAAATTTGAGTTCTCTAGGTGGGCAAGCAGGATTTAATTTGCCACAGTCTCACTACTCCCTATTATCATTATGTGAATGCTGCCTTTAAGGAATTTGATTTTGTACCCTTGTGTATAAATAAACTGTAATTGGTTTAATTAACCATTACATTATGGTGGATATTTTATATATTGCCAGGTTTTTGTCCCCCATCAACAATTATTTTCTTAAGCCAAATCCCTAGGCAAGGAATTGTCAGATCAAAGACTATATATACATACATACATACATACACACATATATATATATATATATATATATATATATATATGAAAGTCTGTCTTAATTTTTAGACCAACCACCAGTGTATGAGAATACCTATTTACCTATATTGTGACCAGTAACAGCCATTTACTGTGTTCATTGATTCTGAGATACTTTTTAAAAAGTTTCACACCTTTAAAATACGCATCTTCTATTAACTGTTATCCTAGATTTGGTAAAAATAGTCATTATTTTGAAATTCAATCAGCTTGTTGATAGAAAAAATGCTTGATAGTACTTTTCTTTTAGTCGTAAGATCAGACATTCTAGTGTTTGATCATTGGCTATTTATATATCATTTATAAAATACCTGATTTAATCCACTAACTTTTTAAAATTACGTTTCTCATCATTTTCTTCAGAATGTGTATAATCTTTTTATTTATTTTTGTGATGTAGCCAAGTACATGAAACTTCATGTTTTTAAATATTAGTCAAGATCATAGAAATGTTTATATATTTTTTCTGATAGTTGTCTTTTAATTCTTTTCTATTGTCTCAGTTTCTTATGTCAGATTATTCTTGTAATTCCAGAGTATTATAAATTTTAATTTAATTTAATTTATTTTTATTTTTTTTTGTCGGTTGTGGGGCTTGAACTCTGGGCTTGGGCACTGTCCCTCAGCTCTTCAGCTCAAGGCGACCACTCTACCACTTGAGCTACAGTGCCACTTCTGGTTTTATGGTGGTTTATTGGAGATAGGAATGTCACGGTCTTTCCTGCCTGGGCTGGCTTTGAACTGTGATCCTCAGATCTCAGCCTCCTGAATAGCTAGGATTACAGGTGTGAGCCACCAGTGCCCGGCTTTATACATTTTAATTTTAAAATGACAATCATTTCAGTATTGCTCATCTCCAGAGAATAGTGATGAAACAAATATTTTGTCCTACATGTTCCAAAAATTGCTTTGAAAATGGTTACCCTAAATAAAAAGATAGGAGGATATTTTCTGTGTGTGTTTATATGGTGGTAGGAATATTCCACATTAGAAATAGCTATAGGGAACGGTTCTGAGATGGGGACAGCCTTTACACTCAACATCTTGACCCTGG